AGCATCCCTTTCAAACTTGGAATAGATATGCTTTCTCTTTAACAGTACCATTTATTTTACACAATGCCTGTTCTCTAAAATAACTCCTATTTGCAAAGGTGAATCCTAAGTTCTATGTATGTATGTTAACCCTCTTCCCTGGATTTCTGTAAGTTTCCTCCTTTGCATCAGTATTATTGGCCTTAATTTTTATCTGTACAGTCTTCCTTGTCCTTGCTCCAACACTTCTCACATGATCAGCCTTCTTACCTACTCCTAGCGTCAGAGCTCAGTCTGCCTTTCTGAATTCGTTCAGTTCTTTGTTTCATCTATTCTCCTACGTCTGGTTGTGATGAAATGCTCCAACAGTCAATACTCCACTTTTCCAAGGAAGGCTAAGACCAGATGCTAAAAGATATATGCTTTAATTTTAGGAAAACGATTTAAATAAGTGGCGATATTAACTTTGTATGGGCAATTTTTATATTAACTATTAAGAAAATCATGTGATTAAAATCCTGAAAATATTTAAGAAATTACAGTAGTGGTACCAACTAATGTAGTTAAGGTATTGATAAAATCCTATAGTGAATAATAAACTATTTTTCTAAGAATATTAAATATGTTTACTAAATAAATATTAAATGTTGTATATAATGTGAGTCTAAGAGAAGAAATTATTAGCATTCTGTATAGTGTTGTTAAATAGCTGCATCTAATGGGAAAATACAATTTTTAAAAAAGAAGAGGAACTTGGAAGGAAATCATATTTGTTCAGCAATTCCTATGTATAGGCTAAGTTACATGTGTAATCATTTCATCTCAACATTATTAAGCCTTTAAGTAGAAGACATTTTTGAGAGATTTCCATTTTAGGATTGAAGTGTTTCATTTCTATGAGCCTTCCACAGTTGAATTTTGGCATATGCTAACACATCCATATGCAATTTCATTGTGAAAGACAATGCAATAGTGATTCAAAGGGTTAATATGAAGATGCAAATCTTTTCTTTCTAAAGATGAATAATGCAATCCATCTCATTTAAAAACTGTAATTTCATCTACTTATAAAGTCTGTTGAATAAGCTCTTTGGATATGATTATGAAAAAGAACCCATGAGGTATTGAAATTGAGCATTTATGTTATTCTTCATGAAAAACAACATTGCAAATTTAATATGTAATTGTAATATGCTATTTCAACATTTCCTAAAATTAAGAAATGGAGATTGCTCTTTCTACCACTCCAGTTGTAGATATTTTCATCAGTGATTATCTTATCATTAACAATGAAGAATGATTTATGATCCCCAGTCAAATATATAACAGGAATAATGTAGACCCAAGTGACACCATAATAATTTACCCTATTTTAATAGTAGTCTGTTGTCTTTGTTTCACAACTAGTAAAACTCAATTTCAACAATATCTAGAATGTATTTCTTGTCTAGAACAATGATACAGAACAATTTAAGTATGTTTTGTGTGTGCATTAAAAGAATTGTTTTGTCAAGAGTGGAAATAAGTTACGCAGAATAAACTGTTTTATTGAGATTTTGTATTCAAGGTGAAGTAGCCTGAACTGAGCTTATTCACTAAATATAGATAAGACAGTATCATTCAAGTGTCATAGATATAAGCAAAATATAGCAATAGAGATTGCAGTTCTTTTTTCTTTTAATAAAGATCATGCTAATCCAAAGGCACAAATACCTCTTAATTATTTAAAATAAGAAGCATAAACTTAAGGTATGAGTATAAAGGTACAATTAATTGTTGGCACTCAAATAAATAATCTGATTAATAAAAATCTTCTATTTATATAAATGTTTAATTCATAGACCAAGATTCATGTAAATGTTTCTGGATCAAATAGCCTTTGAAAAAATGCTTTCATAGGTATTAGTAGTAAAAAATGAAGGAAAATTTGAGAAGCATTACATTAATATTAATGTTAGATGTTAGAATCAATCGAATGGCCATAAGTCAATCCACAAAAATAATAAATAAATCTTTAGAAATCAAAATTTTAAACTTTCTTTGCAGATCATTGTAAAATATGTTGACACATTAATTTGTGCCAGTTTTAAAAACAAATACATGCTAAAATGCTAATATTACTGTTCTCTCTTATAGGTCATTGAATATAGATTGTCACTGCCTAATTGCACATAACCTATCAAGAAATATCAAAATTTTCAGTGATATCTTTGCTTCTTTGTTTAAAATAGCACAGCATTCCAATTATTTAACACTACCTATATTCAGTTCAATCTTTTGACATTTTATACTAACATTTAAGAGTGCTCTCAGATATTAAAAATAATATTTATACAGATGTATGGATTTGTTTAGTCTAGAATAAGAATGAAAAATAAACAAATCATTTCAGGTCTACTCATATTTTACAATTTACTACAAACCAGCTCTCAAAAAACCAGTTTCAAAAAAATTTTGAAACTTTTACAAGTAAAGTCATTTGGAGTATTCCATTGAAATGCTTAAAAAAAAAAGAGAGAAGAAAAAAGGTTTATCACAGTATAGCCTTGCCGTTGCAGGGCATGGATTTCAAGGACAAGAGATAAGGACCACTCAGACAATTGAAACAATGCACTTGAAACAGTCTGTTTATAATTAGTTTCAGATTATCTGTTAACTTCAGATCATCACTCCACATTGGTGGCAAAAAATTTAACAGCCTACATATTTATATATAGTGTACTTATATATATATGTATATATAAAAGAATTATTTAATCAAACTGCTTTATGGTGAAAAGTCCAAAGAAATGAGAGAATCAGAGCTTTCAGACTGAGGAAACAAAAATCTTTGTTCTTTATTATGATTTCTCTGCTCTTGAAGTATAGCACAGATATCACAAGAGTAAACATGCTAAATTGCTTTCTTAATTTTCCTACTTCTTTCACTGTAATTACTTTAAAACCACATGGCCCTATCCTGGAAAAATGAGCATCCATGCTGATTGCTTCATGGACACTTCACTAAGCCCAGTTATTCTGCACAAACTAATTCAAGTATTTTTTATTAGTTTTAGCACATTGATACAAAAGGGGAAACAAAAGAAAAAGACAGCAAAATAAAGCCAAGAGATGATCAGATAAGCCTAACTTAACCAGCAACAGTCAAATTTGTCGAGACCAGTTGGATAATTCCTACTCAAATTCCTAGGTAGACACAGGAAGTTTTTTCTTGAGGATGTGCCTGGAAGGATAGCAAGGAGAGATTCCTGCATCGTATAACCCTGTACATCATGGCAAGGACACTGTGGAGATTCAGTGCCAGAACGTGCAGATGGGCACCTCTGTCCTCTAATAACAATAGTTTTGGAGAGTTAGTTGTCTCTCCTAGGTTGACAGTTTTAAGCACTTTGTAAATAAAAGTGTTCATGAGTGACGTTAGTATTACACTTATTTGTCAAATGATCCCCATAGAGAGATACCCTAAAACAGCAGTATCGCTCTCTACTGTTAAAACTTTCCTCCAATGTTCTATTGGTTTGCATTCTCTAACCTGTTAGATTTAAGCTTCACCACCTGAAACATGAAAGGTTATGAATGTGATGGGGCCTAAAGAAACCTTTGGCTCTCTAGGGTAAGAAATAACCTAAAACTTGCTCCCATTTGGTATGTCTATTTATAATCATAAATACATATTTTAACCTCATATAATAAGTGAAAAGTATGTTTTAGCCTTTTACCTCTGGGAGTTTGCATAGCTTGGAAGTTAATATGTATTTATTTTGGTACATATTACTAATAAGTAATATTAGAAAATTTGCGTTGATTATCTAAGGAATTTCTTCAACCAAAATTGTTTATCAAAATCTTAAAATGACTTCTAGCTACAACATCCAGAATAAAAACATGTAGTGGCAATTTAATCATTTATCACTGACACTTTTATGGCAATGTTTAAATGTTAATTTCTCCATAATTTAACCACTAAGGATTTTAAGTTCCATTAGCCAATTACATATAATGGTTGACCTATAACACTTGGAAAATGAATTTTTAAAGAGAGATTATCTAAAATAATGGGCAAAAAATGTATCTGAGGATATGATTTGAAATATTTAAACACTAAAGACATTTTTTGATTAAAATTAGTTTAAAAAGTAAAAGATAACCACAAATATCACATTTATAAATATATCAAGACAACATTGATATTGTTCTCATTTCAGTTTACTTTATTTGAAGCTGAGGGCAAAAATCAATATTATTTTACTTGCAATACATTTTCATTGTGTGTAATCCATCATGAGTGAATGTGGCATCTATAAGAGATAGAGATTTATGGAATCTTTCTAATCTAATTTTACACACAACTAATATTTGTTCAAATGGGTAACAATTTTGATCTGGCACTTCAGTCTATTAAAAATCAACATTGAAGTAGCACTGTAATTATAACTTAAAAAGAATTTTCCAAAGTGTCTCTCAATATTTAACATCTGCTAAAGATAACTAGCTCCTTCAAGCCTAAATTCCCTGAAGTTCTCTGGATGAAAAGTGTAACCTTAAGTATTTTCATCTTAAACTGAAATCCACTTTAATAATCTATTTGCCCAAAATTGGATTAAAAAAACATGCAGGGCTTTTTTATACATTTAGCTCACAAAGCTTCTGTTTTGCTTTTTCTTAAACTCCTATTTGTGGAGAGGTTGTGGTAGGAAATACACTTCTGAAGAAATAGAGCATTTTACTTATATAATAAATTGCAGTACTTCAATCATAGAGTCAATTGAATACATAAGAGTTGGTGCCAGTCAGGTCTCTATATTGAAATTCATAACAAAATAAGCAACAACAGTACAACAATAACAACAAAAGGAAACGGACCATGGGCAGGAATATTGGATCTTATGTATATGTGTACAAGCTATTCCAAGCTAGAAGTTTCCCAAGAAATTAAGGTCAGTGGAATAGTTTTGGTCATAGGGTCACTGCAATCCAAATGCTCTTTGTAGTATTCACCATTCAAGACTGTGGTCTTCCTGTTATGCTTTGCTGTCGTCTTCTTTTGATTGAATGATGTCGTTAGAAACCTTAATTTCTATCGTTTCTGGATTTAGGACTTCTTTCCCATTTTCTTCTTTTAAAGGCAGTTTTCTGGAAAAGAATATAAAAATAATAGACAATTGGTTAAGGCACTTTAAGTGATATCCATAACCATTTAAGTAATTGTTTTGTAGAAGGAAATAGAGTACAATAGGGTGGGTCAGACGGTAAAGAATCTGCCTGCAATGTGGGAGACTGGGGTTCAACCCCTGGGTTGAGACTGCCTGGAGAAGAGAATGGCAACCCACTCCAGCATTCTTGCCTAGAGAATTCCAGGGACGGAGGAGTCTGGCAGGCTACAATCCACGGTGTCGCAAAGAGTTGGACATGACTAAGTAACTAACACACACACACACACAGACACACACACATTAGAATGAAAAAAAAAATCAGGTTTGTTAAAGTAATAATTAAGTTACAAATGGAATTCACCTCTGTGACTTTAACCTCACCATTGTATGGCATAATGAATGCTACTGTGCTAGTTCCTTTGGGATGTATTTGCAATTTTTTTTATATATCTGAATGAGAAGAGAAAGCCATTGTCTTCTGAAAGTCAAAGCTATTACATGAAAACCAAACAATCAAAAGTAAGCCATTTCATTACTGGGAGTGAAGTATCATCTATCTTAAAACTATTAGGTCAGGCTCTCTTTTATGATTATTATAAATAGTGCATTCAGAATTCTTCTTGTCTGTTTTTCCCAAGAACTGAAAACATCAGCCATATAGGAGTATAAAAACAATGAGTTATTTTTAGCAGCAAAATATACAGAAATTTAGAGCTTAAACAAGAGGTCAGTAAGATGTTTAATATCAATATATCTCTTACAGAACTATTTATTACACTTGTAATTAATCTGTTTTCAAATAACTCTTGGATGGTGTATTTTTGTATATATATATATATATATATATATATATATATATATATACTTATTCATTACTTATGTTTATGTTAAATTGTATTTTTAAAGATTACTGTTAATTTTGTTATTTTTATGTTCAATATTTTTTTCTTTAATTGAGAACCAGAATAATTATTAAATTATCTTGCTTTGATTTTTTGTTTTGTTTTCTTTCAAAACATAGCCCTGTTCTATATAAGGGCATTTTCTTAGCCAGTTTTCATACATACCATTATATCATAGTAAGTGTTAACTAACAGGTAGGAAGTTGCTTTGTTGTGTAATATTTTGCTTATTGAAAAGATTTCTGATTTCTGAAGGGGATTGTACAGAACCCACCCTAAAAAACTACTTCTACAAGAGTCAACTTCAAATTAGAGTGTAATAATCCCTAACTGAAGTCATTGAAAAGGGCCTGAAGATTTAAACCAAAATTAAAGCTTCAGAATAGTACTACCTTTGTCTAAATATTATTATTATTAGCCTCTTGAGTGAAGATAAAGGGGATTTCTAAAAAAGTCATTTTCTTTAACTGTGACAACACTCAGCCTTTGACTTAGGATGAGAAGCCTAAATCAAATTTCTCTCCAAGAGAATACTATCTAGTAAAGAAAAAGGATTTTATTTTTAAAAACAAAATGCAAACGTAGTTTTGGTGAGCAATATTTAAAGAATAATGTAATCGCCCTGATTTTGGCAGTATCAAATGTCTTCAATTGTTATTGTTGTTCAGTCACCAAGTCGTGTCCAAATCTTCACAACCCCATGGACTACAGCATGTCAGGCTTTCCTGTCCATCACCATCTCCGGGAGTTTGCCCAAGTTCCTGTCATTGAATGGGTGATGCCATCCAACCATCTCATCCTCTGTCATCCTCTTCTCCTTCTGTCTTCAATTTTTCCCAGCATCTGGGTCTTTTCCAATAAGTCAGATGTTGGCATCAGGTGGCCAAAGTATTGAGGGCTCAACTTCAGCATCAATTCTTCCAATGAATATTTAGGGTTGATTTTCTTTAGGATTGACTGGATTTCGCTCCTTGCAGTCCAAGGGACATTCAAGAGTCTTCTCCAGCAACACAGTTTGAAAGCATCAATTTTTCAGTACTCTGCCTTCTTTACTGTCCAGTTCTCACATCCGTACATGACTACTGGAAAGACCATTGCCTTGACTATCTGCACCTTTGTTGGCGAAGTGATGTCTCTACTTTTTAACACACTGTTTAGGTTTGTCATAGCTTTCCTATGAAATTAGAAGCAATTGTCTAATTGCTTATACATTTGCAGTGATTTTAGAGCCCAAGAAGACAAAATCTGTCACTGCTTCCACATTTTCCCCTTCATTTGCCATGAAGTGATGGGATACGATGCCATGATCTTAGTTTTTTTTTTTTTCAATATTGAGTTTTAAGCTGACTCTTTTACTCTCCTCCTTCACCCTCATCTGGAGACTCTTTTGGCTTTCTGTCATTAAAGTGGTATCCCAGCAATCAAACTGAGTTTCATCCAGCCCAGCATTTTGCATGATGTACTCGGCATATAAGTTAAATAAGCACGGTGACAACAGCCTTGACATACAGTTTCCCCAGTTTTGAACCAGTTTGTTGTTCCCATGTCTGGTGTACCTTTTCCCCCTTGATTTTCACTTCTCTTTTTTTCAGCTTTCTGTGGAGCCTGCTCAGACAACCACTTCGCCTTCTTGCACTTCTTTTTCTTTGGAATGGTTGTTTGCCGCCTCCTGTATAATATTACAAACCTCGGTCCAAAGTTCTTCACTCTGTTTACTAGACCTAATCCCTTGAATCTATTCATCACCCCCATTGTATATTCATAGGGGATTTGATTTAAGTCATACCTGACTGGCCTAGTAGTTTTCCCCACTTTCTTTAGTTTAAGCCTGAATTTTGCTATGAGGAGCTGATGATCTGAGCCACAGTCAGCTCCAGGTCTTGTTTTTGCTGACTATGGCTAAAGAATGTAATTACTCTGATTTTGCATTGACCATTTGGTGATGTCCATGTGTAAAGTTGTCTCTTGTGTAGTTGTAAAAGTGTGTTTGCTATAATCAGTTCTGTTATATATAGTTATATATAGCTGTGCTATATATTCTGTTCTCTTGGCAGAATTCTGTTAGCCTTTGCTCTGCTTCATTTTGTACTCCGAGGCCAAACTGGCCTGCTATTCCAGGTGTCTCTTGACTTCCTACTTTTGCATTCTGATCCCCTGTGATGAATAGGACATCTTTTTTGGGTGTTAGTACTAGGAAGTCTTCTAGGTCTTCACAGAACTGATCAACTTCAGCTTCTTTGGCATCAGCAGTTGGGGCATAAACTTGGATTACTGTGATGTTGAATGGCTTGCCTTGGGAACAAACCAAGGCCATTCTGTCATTTTTGAGGTTATACCCAATAACTGCATTTTTCATTCTTTTGTTTATTATAAGGACTACACCATTTCTTCCTTTGGATTCTTGCCCACGGGAGTAGATATAATGTAATTCACCCATCCCTGTCCATTTCAGTTCACTGATTCCTAAGATGATGTTTATTCTTGCCCTGTCCTGCTTGACCATGACTGATTCACCTTGATTCATAGACCTAACATTTCAGGTTCATGTGCAATACTGTTCTTTGCCGCTTTGGATTTTACTTTCATCACCAGACACATCCACAACTGGTCCCGCTGCTTCATTCTTTCTGGAGCTGTTAGGAGCTATCCTCCAGCCTTCCCCAGTAGCATATTGGACACCTTATGACCTGGGGGGTTTATCTTTCAGTGTCATACCTTTTTGCCTTTTATGCAGTTCGTGGGGTTCCCATGCTAGTATATTGGAGTGGTTTGCCATTCCCTCTTCTAGTGGATCACATTTTGTCAGAACTCTTCACTATGACTGGTCCATCTTGGGTGGCCCTACATGGTGTGGCTCATATCTTCGTTGAGTTATGTAAGCCCCTTCACCTCGGCAAGGGGAATATATTCAGTTGAGTACCACTGTTACTACTTTCTGATAATGCCTTTGTTTCTAAACATTTTAACCTTCATATTCATGAACATCATGTTTGCACATGTCCATTTTTGTGGGTTTAGCTGAAGTACTAATCATGGTTTTAATCAAGTTCTGATGGATGCAGAATTAAGTAATAACATAACTTTGAATGGAGACCAGGCATCACTGAAATAGTAGTTATTTAACAGCATCCCTTCTTCTTGACAAATATATATATTTAAAAAAAAGACGTGTTTATTTCACACTATTTATTTCTATTCTATAACTGTATTCATAGTCAAAGCAGTAACTAATTTCCTGACACATTTTTATTTCAGTAAAATCAATCACACTTTGAAAGTATCACTTTCTTAAACAGCAAGATTAGTGCAGGAAAGTCCAAATTTGAAACATGCTTCCATTATTCTGATATATTTGCATAAAATTATGAATATATCTTTAAACAGGAGATTTTCTCCTACACTGATACAAAATCTTAGTGTGAAATATCTCAATTTTTATATTCACATGTACTTTTATTGAAGAAGAAACATCATTTTAAAAATGTTATTTGTAATACATGCTATTGATAGTGATAATGTGATAGTCAGTTTACAAATATTTATCCAAAAATTATTAAGGATTTCAAGCTACATACTCAGGTTCTGTTAGTGGTGTGGTTTCATTTGGCTCATTTACTGGGCTCCCATCTTCATGATTAGTAATTCTTTCATCCTCTGTTCTCATCTCCACTATTGGTTCTTTTGATCCATCTTTCCTAGAAAAATAAAGAAAAATAAAATCTTACCTATAAAATGTAAGGATGGAGGCATTATGGAACATAGCTAAAAATCTCCACAAAATCTCATCATCCTTTAAATAAATCCAATGTGGCTAGAATGGAATACTTACTAAGAATCTTTTTTCCATTGAAATTTATCTAGCCAAATATTGCTCAGAAAAAAATGGAAAGAAATTCCATTTTGTCTAGAATTCTTTTCATCAAAACTGTGTTAAATATTCCATAAAATAGTTCAAATTTAAAATTTAATCATTCACTTTCTTTTGGGAAATAAAACAAAGATTTTGGTACATAAAGTTTAGGATATGAGGTACCTGGGTGTAATTCCCTTTTCCCTTGTGGTAGGAAAGGGGGCTGGATTTGGGTGTCCCTCTTCATGCATGTCAAAAAGCAAATTACACACACATGGGGGCTTCCCAGGTGGTGCAGTTGGTAAAGAATCCACCTGCCAATGCAGGAGACACATGAGACATGGGTTCGATTCCTGGGTCAGGAAGATCTCCTGGAGAAGGGAACGGCAACCCACTCCAGTGTTCTTGCCTGGAGAAGTCCGTGGACAGAGGAGTCTGGCCGGCCCTAGTCCATGGGGTTACAGAGTCAGACACAGCTGATCACACATGCACTAGAATACAAGCACATATACACACATTGATTGCTGCTGCTGCGAAGTCGCTTCAGTAGTGTCCGACTCTGTGTGACCCCATAGACGGCAGCCCACATTGACTAGTCACTTGCTATTATTTTTTATGTTTTATTTCTTTTACAACTTGCTTAGATAAATCTGATTAGGTAAATTCTCTTCTAAAAAGTTAACATTTACACAAAACTTTCCTATTTATTTATCCATTTGATTTTTTTTTTTTTAACCAAAATGTGTTTCCCATCAGAGTAACAAGCCAATAGCAGGGACTAGTTTGTTCTTCCTCACATTTGTATCTCTGAAACTTAGATGTGCATGTGCTAAGTTGATTCAGTCGTGTCTGCCTCTTTGCGACCCTATGTTCAGTAGCCTACCAGGCTCCTCTGTCCATGGGATTCTCCAGGCAAGAATACTGGAGTGGGTTGCCATTCCCTTCTGCAAGGGATCTTCCTGACCCAGGGATCGAATCTGTGTCTCTTACATCTCCTGTATTGGCAAGAGCATTCTTTACCACTAGCACCAAAGTGCCTGGTTATCCAAGTGTTCAATAGTATTTGCTATTGTAAATCAATGCTTGGGTAAATGAGAGTATACATGTAGTTTGAGAAAATAGTAATCATTAGCCATTTTATAAGATAAATTATGAGAATTCAAGATAAATACTAATTTACAATAAAAGACAAATAATGGAATATTCTAGGAGTTTACACAAATGCTATTTTGTATACCATCGCCTTTCTCATTTTTTATGCAATATAATATTTTTCAAATAAAGATGCTCTAAGTGTGTAGTTAGTGTGTTTTGTAACACACATACTCAGTCTTATAACTTCTGATCACATCAAAGGACTAGTCTAAGAATGCTTAAGATCATGTTTAGAAAATAGTATATATTCAATAAATCAAATTAATTATATTCTATCTCTCATCGAGATTTTATATATATTTTTTAGTTGACACAATAACTTTTTGCAAAAGTTAAAAACTTTTTTTCTAAGGCAGGGGATATCATGATTTTAAAAGCTATGATGGACAACAAGCATGAAATGAACCATGTGTTTTCATCTTTTCAAGACTTTAAGGTTAATCGATCTCAGCAGGAATTACAAACAGAAGTGTTGGTAAATAAATTACCAATTAAGAAATCAAACAAAAGCAAATGACAGAGCTTGGATACACCTGGCTGTTTTGCACATGGTCACCAACTTCCTTCTAGATGATTAAGACAAAAGAAGAAGGCTCTTGTTGATTTCTCTCTTGCTGTCACCTCAAAGTCAAATCAGTTCCCAGTGGCTGACTCTACCTCATCTATATCTGGATGGTATACTCTTGAATATGTCTATCTACTACTATCTTGGAACAGAAGACCATCTCTTTCCACCTGAAGTGTTTCAAGATTCTCCTATCTAGTCCCTCTGACTTTATATCTTTCCTTACACGTACCAACCTTCCAGTAATCCAATCTTCAAAGCAACTAAAAAAATCTTAAAAAAAAAAAAACTTTTAGTCACTTTCTATTTAAAAAATATTTAACCCAACAAGATTTAATCCTTTTGTACTCAGATAATTCTCTCAACTAATATTGGTACCAGTTTCTTTACCCGGCTTACTCCACTCAGCTCCACTTAGTGCTGAACATAGCTCATTCCTGCCTGAACAGCCTCTGTACTATTACACCTGATTGGAAGGCTCTTCGCCTTGATCATTGTATTTGTGACTCTTGATCACTCACTCTTCAGTTTAGTTTCACCTCTTGCTAGAGGTTTACACTGACTGAAACTCTAGTAACAGTTTACCATTCTGTTTTCCTTTATTTTTTAGTGCTTATCACTATCAGACATTTTCATTTTTACCATTTATTACCTGTATTCTTACATTAAAATGTGAATTCCATGTGAATAAAGTTCTTGTTTGTTTTGCTCACCACTTTATCCCTAGGTTTGATGGCAGTGGTTTTTACCTAATACTTGTTCCATTTAGTTAATAGTAGAGCAAGAATGAACATATACAAAATTCAGTTTTGAGTCATGTGTGCATATATATGTATCATCTGTATATAATATATGTATAATTATGTTAAATAGTATGTTGTTTTCTGTATATGGGAAAATGAACTAAAGCTAAATTTGGTGATACATGTCTTTAGTTAATCAGGCAATTTAAAAGTACAGCAAGTTATGATAAAGTATATGTTTCTATGAGGATAGCAAGAGATAGTGAATAGGAATTGATCCCACTCTATTTACTATGTCATATGTTCACTATTCTTTCAAGCATTAAAACAGTCTAATTTAATTTTGTTCTTTGCTATCCACTGTGTCCAACAACTAAGCAGGTGACACTTTGGGATATTTAAACTAATTTTTTTAACTGAAAATGTGTACTATTCAATTTATTATCTCTTAAGGTAAAAGCATTCCTTATATAATATCCATAAGAAATGATCATAGATGAAATGCCTAGTAAGCTTGAAATGGGTTTGGAGATTAAAAGCAAAACAAAACAATGCAGCCATGCAGAAATGAATTCTCCTCTATCCTTAAGTCTAAGAAATAATGCATGAAATCATAAAATGCCTAAATATATGAATCAAGAATGGATAGAAATGACTCAACAATAAAATGAAATGAATCACTGACAGATAGAACACCATGAATGAATTCTAAAACATCATGTTGAGTGAAAGAAGCCAGACACATATCAAGTTTTAGAAGAAAAAATCAGAATAGTGGTTGCCTGGGAGATGGGGAGTTACCTGGAGTAGTGTGGTTTTGTCTGGGTAGGAACATGAGAGAACTTTTGAAGTTGATGCTAATATGGAACATTTTTTTGCATATCACTCTAAGTTTACATAAGGAAAATGTAAATTGTGAACTCCTCGGAGTGATACAAAAAGTCTCTCATTACTGTGACGCAGATGTCTGATACTCACAGGTACGCAGCTTTTCCTTCTTCGAGTTCTTTACTTTTACCACTGGAGCCACTTTTCTTCCCACACATTCTCCTGGTGATGCACATCAATAACCCACATTGTCGAATAAAGAAGCAGCTGACATCTGTTACCACCAGGATTAGCAAGAGTGCGGCGACTCCCAGACCAATGACCGCTCCAAGTCCAAGACCATTAAAAAGTGTGTCTTGAAAATAAAAGAAAATAAGTGTATTAAAGCCCAAGATAGACAATATTATACAGTTATTTTAAAAAAGAAAGCATCTCATCTGAGAAATATTCAACTTAAGAGACAGGAAAATATCTTTACTAGCACACTCCAATTTCATGAATTGTCTGATTTTCAAACAATGTTTTAAGCAACTGCCATGTTAGAATTTGAAAATCTCTTACAAATTTTCTTCAGAAAAAAGCATTCTAACTCTGGTTTACAATGTACTTCTGATTACCTTTGGGGGAGATAATGAATATTTTATTATAACCCTAATTGTACTCTACAAGAAAGTCAGAGTCATTTTTAGATCAGCACTTTGTTCAAAGAAAAAAATATAATCAAAACTCCTGTAAGAGATGTGTTAAATAGATGTTCTATTTGGAATAATTTTAGTTTTAAGACTTAGTCTTGAAATGATGCTATAGCACTTTGCTTTGACAGAGGAAACACTTTAAAATATTTGCCAAGAAATATTTTAAAAATCATCATTTTCATCAGAATCTAACTACTCTTCAGGAGAAGGCAGTGGCAGCCCACTCCAGTACTCTTGCCTGGAACATCCCATGGACAGAGGAGCCTGGTAGGCTGCAGTCCATGGGGTCGCTAGGAGTCGGACACGACTGAACGACTTCACTTTCATTTTTCACTTTCATGCATTGGAGAAGGACATGGCAACCCACTCCAGTGTTCTTGCCTGGAGGATCCCAGGGACGGGGGAGCCGGGTGGGCTGCCGTCTACGGGGTGGCGCAGAGTCGGACACGACTGACGTGACTTAGCAGCAGCAGCAACTACGTTTCAATGTGTTCATTTCTGCTGTACAGCAATGCAATCAGTCCTGTGTGAGCATACGCCCTGTCCTCCTTGAGCCCGCGCCCACCACCCCTGTCCGCCCCTCTATGCCATCACAGAGCACAGAACGAAGCTCCTGGGGCCAGGCAGCAACTTCCCACTAGCTGTGTACTAGTATTTTACACGTGGCAGTGTGTACACCGCAACGCTACTCTCTTATTTTGTTCCACCCTCTCCTCCTTCCCCTGTGTCCACAATTTCATTCTCTACAGCTGCGTCTCTATTCCTGGCTCTGCATCGTTTTAGAATAAATGATTTACTTGTATTTCTCCAGTGAATAATTTAACAAACCACACTAGACCAGAGGCAAACTTTAACAGAGCTGTGACCTTTCTGAAGTCATATCCATGATGGACTCGATGGACGTGAGTTTGAGTGAGCTCTGGGAGGTGGTGATGGACAGGGAAGCCAGGCATGCTGCAGTCCACGGGGTCACAGAGAGCTGGATGTGACTGAGCGACTGAACTGACTGACTGAAGTCATTTCATGAAAAGGTAGGGAAAGATGGGAGCCACTTTTTCAAGTCATGTGATTGGAGGAAACTCCACAAATCATACACAAAGGATTCATGAAAGAGGTGATAGAGAATAGGGTGGAATAGACTGACTAACAGAGTAGAAACGGCAAGAGGGATAATGCAGCAAAAATGAATCAAATGTTATATGCCTGTAGTTGAATATAAGGGGCAATTCCTCAACTATAACAATGCAGATAGGAAAGAGAGCATAGTGGAAAGATAGAAGATTAAACTGGAGATATTGTGTTATCTAGAGGTAAAAAAGAGAATCATATGACAATTGTATAAAATTGTTCAAAATGACCATGATAATGTTAAAATTTGCCTATATAACACTGTAAGTTTATAATTATCATTTTAGATGATAAAATACATTTACCACTCAGCATCATAATAGCATGCTCAATCTGTGAGTGGTGTGCAGTCCAAGTGACAGATACAGAAGCAAACTTGGGTTTTGTGAAAACTACTTCTAAAAAAAAAAAAATATGTAAAATAAAGATTTTCTAAGTCATATTTTTAAAGTTAGGTCTAATATGTTTTAACCATGATTGAAGAAATTGTGATCCAAAGGAATTGATATGATTTTTTATGTCAAATTTTCCACTAACAGGCCAATCTTGAATACATCACACCTGTCTGAATACTAGTTTATTTTTCTGAATTTCATGTCTAAATTTATTTTTTTTTTTAGGAAATGCATGTTATTTATATTCCTTAACAGACCTCCCTTGTGGCTCAGTGGTATATTATAGAATCTGCCTGCCAATTCAGAAGACACATTGATCCCTGGGTTGGAGAGATCCCCTGGAGGAGGAAATGGCGACCCACTGCAGTACTCTTTCCTGGGAAATCCCATGGACAAAGGAGCCTGGAGGATTACAGTTAATGAGGTCACAAAAGAGTGATACATGACTTAATAAATAAACAACAACAATATATTTCTTAACACCCCCAGAGCTTGCAGGCAGAGTAATGAAAACCCTTCTGTGACATGGTGGCTGGCACTTACCCAGGCAACCTTGTGGTTCACCTGGGTGAGATCACAGATATTCCTATACAACATCCCGTGTTGTTGCAAATAAGAATTCTTTAAGTACAGAATCAACAAACCTGGCACTCACATCCCCTTAAAAAGTGTCATTTTGATTACAATTATTTTATTCCCCATAATTAGAAACTGGCAATAGAAACATAGTGTTAGAGGAAAAAAATTTTTCATGCCATTTTCAGAATCTCCTTCCCCTATCGAAGTTTACCATGCTACTTAGATAGTTTTAGTGTAGAAAAATTGCCTACTGCAAATCCAGAGATATTATTAACTTTAACAGAACTATTCTCTTATCACATGAACCCACTTAAAGGAAAGACTAGAGAAATAAAATGGTGTTCAGCCATGGGAATTTGGTATATTTTTATGCAAAGTTTCAATATACAAATGGACGAGATTCCAAATATTATTATAAAATTTTCAAAGATGTATCTGTACGCACTATTAAAAAACCTAGGGCCTCATGCTAGAAAAATAATGTAACAAGAAAACTAGGATTTGTTTCAGCACTTTAAACAATTGCACTTTTTCTTTCACTATTCCTTTTCAAATATAAATGATCCTCACCTGAGTCTATTGTTACACTAAAGACAATCGACTTATGAGATATCTTCGATTTTATGTAAAGCAAAAAGTATGCTTTTCAAATTTGTAATCACTTTGGATTTGCCTCACATGATTCAACCACCAAAGCTCAGACAAGGATAGTAGAAAAATAAAGATTTGATTCAGTGTTAGCCCCTGTGGATACATTGACTCAAATGACGTTTGAACTTCAATCACTTTTTTCCTACTTCATTTAGGATTCCGCTCACATGCATACCCAGTCAGAGTTTTAGGCAATGAATCCCACAGCTCAGTGATGATATATCTGGTCAATGACATAAATCCCCATTTACCATTTTTAAAATGTGAAGACTTTTGCTTTGTTCTGAAAGGCACTGTATCTGGCATCAGAAAATCCTGCTTCCATCACTTACTTCTCCATATCCTTTGTTGAGTCATTTAACTTTTCTCTAAGGCTGAGATGGCTCTTTATTGAAAAGGGGACACTTTGGAAAACAATCTCCACAAACTAAGCCACGAGGTTGTTGGAAAGACTTGTGAATATAATAATGTATTTAAATCACAAGGTAAAAATTTAACAAGTATCATCATTATTATTATTACAAAATTCTATGGAAATGCAGTTTTTGTGGAAAAAAAATTGGCCATTTGAAATTAAATTAGTTCAATAAATATATTTCTTCATCAGCAACCTTCAGAGTCTCTTGTTAAACATTGATTATTCTTCTGAGAATATAGTCACTGTTCTGAAATGACTTAGTTTTAGCTAGTTAGCTTTTAAATGATAAATATTTTATTTGTGACCTTCTTAGTATTAAACCAGTATATTGATCTGTTTCATTCCTGAGTTCAAAAAGTGCTTAGAAACATTGTATTTGTAAAGCATCTATGGTGAGGGAATATTGACCTTAAGAGCTATTACTTTTTTCCTGGAGAAACAAAGTTATATCTTTTAAACTAATGATTACAAAATTGGATGACTACCTAAAGATACTTTTTAAAGAAAAACTAAATATATATTTTGTCACTGCAAAGAATAGGCATGGATATCAAATAGGTTTATGTAATAAATATTTAATTACATTCTTTTGTGAAAGCTTTTTTAGCTTAACAATATATTTAAATATTTATATTTTCTCATATTCCATGAAGTTAAGCTATAATAATTATGAAAGCTAGATTTTCTAATATTTTCCTTCTTTCTTTTGCTACCAACTTAGTCTATTGTAAAAGTTCATTTATTTGTCTGGACTTCTCACAAAGTCATTACCGTATATAGCACTGCATCACTAGAATTTGGGGACTAGGAATGATTTATGTCCTTAGCAACATACAAAAAATCTTTATAAGTAAGTTATGGCTTTAATTACTCAATACATTGAAACTAAGCATGGCAATCATTTAAAGGATTTTAAAGCCATCTTTTCTTTTTAGCTTCCCAGAATACTTACATATATGCTTTATGACTTAATTTTTATTTAACTCCATTACAAAAACAAAAATATTTTCAGGTCTCTACATTACAAGATAACCCTTAATATTAAACCTGTAGAACTGAAGACTATTTATTTAGCCTGAAGGCATGGCAACTTGCCCACTCCAGAATTCTTGCCTGGGGAATCCATGGACAGAGGAGCCTGGCAGGCGATTGTCCATAGGGTCTCACCAAGAGTCGGACACAACTGAAGCAACTTAGTATATGTAATATGCCACACTGCATGGCTTCTGGAATCCTAGTTCCTGAACCAGGGATTGAACCCAGGGCATGGCAGTGAAAGCACTGAATCCCAATGGCTAGACCAACAGGGAACTTCTCAGTTTTATGTTTTTTTATACCTGTGTTTAAGTCAATATTTTATATTGGATACTCAGCATCAAATAGTCAAAAGATAGTAATAAAACTAGTAAATGAATTAAAATGTGTAATTTGCTTGCCTAAAAATGTCAATATCCATCTTTTCTATGCTACTAGTAGCAAAACAACTATT